ATAAGCTATTGCTCCTGTAATCAAGAATTTACTGTTTTTCCATTAGTTTGCTTGGTGATAGCTATTGTTTCCTCCCACTTTTTTTGTCTGCTGCAAAAACAGAATGTTTCTTCAAGCTGAGCTAAATGCAAAGTCTAGTGGCATACGTATGCTGGACCAGGAGCCTTTGTTTTCCAAGGACAAGTGCAAGAATAACATTTCAAATTCTTGTCCTCTCATACTGAAAAACCTGAAAAATTTAAAAGGCTGAATTCCAGAGAGGGAAAATCCTGTTGAGAATAAGAACAGCTCTTAACACGTTAGTGACTACGTGTGTGACTAACAGAATGAGGGGTGATATTGATCAGCACAAACCTAGATGAACTCTTAATGTTGGAGTCCACCTATTTCTTTTAAAAGTATTTGTAACTTATTTTGTTTAGGGATACATCAGGGCAAGGGAGATTCTGCACCATATTTCGGTCGTATTCAAGAGGTGCTCAGGTAAGCTGCATGCTGCTCTCTTTAATGATGAGTAATGGTATTATAGGAATGTTTAACAGACAGCAAGTTGTTGTGATGACTTTTGTTGCTCACTTGTAGATTGCATGCAATTGCACTGAGAGTCTAAAGATAACATGAAACTTGGGAAATAATAAGGGGCAGGATTTTCTTGGGTGAGAGGAGGAGGAGGGGCAGAAATTAATGAGATGGTGGTTGAACCAGTGTGTGCTATAATGATAAATATCTTCAGGCCTTCTTGTTGGCTACATCAACAACTTAAGCCTGTTAGCTTCCTTTAACCATGTGAATATGCATGCTAATGCTGCCTTTTGAAGCTGTGGGCCAGGTAAGGTGAACAGCCAACACAAAACTCAAGAGCACCAGGAAAATACAAACATAATAAAAACTGTAACAAAGTGTATGGACTTATAATGAAATCTCTCAAAAAAACCAAACATACAGTGTAGTGATTTTAGGGTTTCAGATTTCAAAGTACTGCTTTAATTCACGGCATGTAGAATTGCATGATTTATGTTCCAGAATTATATAGAGCATTGAATCTTCAACCTACTGCATCTGACCACTAATATTTATTTACTGTGACTTGTGTTGTGTGAATGATCAATCACATTTGTCTACTGTAAAAAGAAATATTCACCAGTACATAACCCCCTCCCAGAAAGTTTTGGATTCTGTCCCTTACCATATCAGTAGTCTACAGAGAGTTGGGGCTTGGTGTTATAGAATGTCGAGGTTCTGCTTCATTAAGATCTTTCTCAGTATCTTACAGGATTATTTCAGACTCAGAGAATTCACAGATAGTATTTTCTGTCTTGTGCCTTTGTTAAACTTATTTTTTTAATAACATGTATATTTAAAAACAGGGAGTAATACTGGTGTACGACATCACCAACCGTTGGTCATTTGATGGCATCGATCGATGGATAAAGGAAATAGATGAGGTAAGGTACAACCCAGGACTGTCACCAGTCTATTGCAGATGACTAAGACTGACAGTTTATGATATTTTCTGCTGTTTTTACTGGCATTTGCAGGCAGTGCTTACTACGGCGTCATCCAAGATGCCAAGTTTACCATTCTGTTTCTATGTTTACAATTTTGGAAGTTAGAAACATAGCAGCTTGAAGTGTCTAATTTCTTTAAAGGTGTTGGCAGTAAGCATATGGAGGGCAAAGATTTCATATTGTAGTCCCACTCTTGCTATAGATTTGACACATCTTCTCTGCAAGTGAGAAAGGGATGTTTTTAAATCATAGAATCATAGAATAGCTTAAGCTGAAAGAGACCTCTAGCGATCATCTTGTCCAACCTGGCACTCAGTCTAAACTCTTGAAAAATCTTCCGTTTTAACTGAGGGAAGGGAAAAATTAGAGCCAATTTTTTGTATTGCTTTTCTTTTCTCAGCATGCTCCTGGTGTACCAAAAATCCTGGTTGGAAACCGCCTTCACTTAGCCTTCAAGCGCCAAGTGTCTACTGAACAAGCACAAACCTATGCTGAGCGGCTGGGCATGACTTTTTTTGAAGTCAGTCCTCTTTGTAATTTCAATATTACAGAGTCCTTCACTGAGCTAGCAAGAATAGTATTGATGAGGCATGGAATGGACAGGCTCTGGAGGCCAAACAAGGGTAAGCAAAATACGCTGAAAATGTTTAAAATTAGTCCTGGAAAAGGTTTGTGGTTCCTTAATGAAAAATAAATTCCAGAGAATTGATTCCTTGGCTGACATCAAAATGAAGAGCCAGGAATCTGATACAACTTGTTTTCTGAACAGAAAATATGCACCTACAGGCATAACCTGTTCCTGCTTTTGTAGGGAATAGCATGTCTTTCCTAGAACTAAGTTTTGATTGATACATAAGTAGGAAATGGAAGCAGCAGATATTTTTGATAATGCAAGTGTGGGAAAGCATGTGGGAAGGGAAATGAGAATTCATCCTAGAAGTACAGCATGCATGAAGAGTGTTGGTTATTCTACTAGTGTTTGGCTGACAAAAGCAAACTATTATAATGGAAGTTTTATGTCTGTTTTTAAGTACTGAGTCTGCAAGACCTTTGTTGCCGTGCCATAGTTTCCTGCACCCCTGTGCATCTTGTTGACAAGCTCCCTCTCCCAGTTGCCTTAAGAAGCCATCTCAAATCTTTCTCCATGGCCAACGGTCTTAATGCCAGAATGATGCATGGACGCTCATATTCGCTCACATCCAGCAACATCAATAAAAGGAACAGCTTAAAGAAAGCTAAAATTATCCGTCTACCACAGAGCTCATCAAAAAACTGTACAAGAAACAGCTGTAAAATTGCTTAAGCTCTGTGGGAAAAGGAACCTGGATGGAATCCCCTCATGTGAAGCGTTGAATGTGAGGACTCCTTTTTTTAATAGAGCATACTCTATGTAGGTATCACACTACATAGACAAAAATGAGAAAAACAAGTACTAATTTGGAGCCTGATCACTACGGTAATGCTGCTTTGGAATGAGTGACTTGTTCAGTGCAACTGAAAGGGTGTGACGTTTTGCTGTTGGACTTGCATACTTTATTTTAGTTTCTGACTTGCATGATGCCATTGTTTTCACTACTTGATGTATTTTCCTATGGGGAATAATTATCATTATATTGAGTTCTTAATTCCATTAAATCTGGAATGTGGCTTACTGTGTAATTGTTTAAAAAAAATCCTGTCTTTTTACAAACTATTAAAACCATGAGTCATTGGTTTACATATCCAGGCAGAAGTTTTTAAATGCAATGTATTGTATACATTGTAAATTCTATAAATAGTGCAACCAATTCCAGTCATACTGCAGTTCTGTATTTGGATGTTTGGTAAAGCTTCCTTGATGACTTCAAAGCACTAACTTAACTAAGCTAAAAATGTGTATACAATTATGATGCACATATGCAACAAGGTTTTGTCCCATTAGTATATGTAATGGATTTGATAAAGTTTTTTGGTATGTTATTTAATACTTTGGGAAATTAATTTGTGGTTTAAATACTTATTTTTCTGTAAAGAAAAAAAAAATATATATTACATTTTATACCACTCTACAGGAAAGTTTGAGAAGGAAATGCCAAAGATTCTGTGGTTAAGGGAACATGACTTGAAAACCTGCTTTATAAGAAAAAAAGCACTATTTAAAAAAAATAAATAAATGCTTCTGGAAAATAAATCCTACTAAGCTTTATTTCATTGGAGAAAGTTGTCTTTATCTTCCTTGAGAAGAACTGGAAGAACAGTGTACCTGAAGTGGACAGCAGGAACATGAAGCCATCTTAAAAGGATGATAAAATACCTTGAATACAACGTCTGTCTTCAATACTGTGAACTGACATGCAGGAGGATACATGTCAAGCGTTCCCCTTCTTTTTGAAGAATACTGTGACTCGTTTTGAGCAGTAGGAATCCTTTGAGGTGATGGTGTAATTCTTCTAGGCATCTTCACAAACGGGAGATACCATCAAGTTAGGAATCCTTAATGTTCCCCCTGCATCTGACTAGGTTTCCACAGTGAGTAGGGAAAACTAAAACAAGTGAAATGCCAAAGCTATGTCAGGACCTGGACTGATAAATGCAGCACTTCTTGAAAAGTGTTTCATATTTAAAGATCAAATAGGAAAACACAGCACAGCAGAAGGAATTTCTCCTGGCTTGCTTTCATTGCTGCAGCTCACTCCATGACCAGCAGGCTCCATCTGCTGGGCTGAGCTGCACAGGGATTGCTGCACGTCAGGATGAAGCCGGTGCACTGCAGAAATCACACCTCCACAGCTTAAGGAAACATACATAGCAGCCTGCAGCTGCGTGAGGTTACAGCCAAATCCTAGGAGTTCTGGCTGTGTTTCACTATTGGTTGTGTGCAGAGTTCTGTGCGCATTCGTGTCCCGTTTTAAGTCTTGGCCTCTTCAACCAGCAGATCACTGATTTCTTTTCTACCTGCTGCGTGTAGTGTGAAAACTGGGAGAGACCATTAGCATGGATGTGCTCACATCCTGCTACCAGCCGGGGCACAGGCAAGGCCTGGGGAGGCCGGAGCAGCCGTCACCGTGCAGTGATTGAAGCCTGCGGGCGCTGTTCTGTGCAGCACTGAGGGCTGTCCTGGCTGAGCGAGGCCTGGTGGACATGGAAGGTGATTTTAGGGAAGGGGAGATGGAAGGGAGCGGGCTGCCCCAGGCGTGAACGCTCCAAGACGCTTGGACCTTTGTTTCGACGCTTGATAGTAACGGTGGTGGATTTACTGTTAGTGTTATTCATATTTCCTTCTCGGGGAGTTCAGGGCTCAGCTCGCACGGCGCACATCCGCCCTCAGCGCCTCCGTCCCTCACAGCACGGCGCTCACGCCGCCATTCCTCGTGGGCGGAGCGCAGCGCAGCACGGCTCGCTCGCTCGCTCGGCGATCCCCGCCCCGCCGGGTGGATGGCCTCGGTGCTCGCCTTGCGGCCTGCCTGTGTCGGAAGCCGCCGCCGTTCTATCCGCCACGGCTCGGCTCGGCTCGGCTCGGCTCGGGCGGGCTCCCGCGGCGGGGCTGAGGCGGGCGGGTGCCGCCATGGTTTAAAGTCCCGCGGGAGGAAGGTAGCGGGCGAGAGCCATGAACCTGCTGCCGGCCAACCCGCACGGCAACGGGCTGCTGTACGCCGGCTTCAACCAGGACCACGGTGAGGTGGCGGGGCCGGGCCGTGCCGTGCGGTGGCTGCGGGGCGGTGCGGTTCGGCGCGGTCCGTTCGGGCGGTGCGTGCTGGGCGAGGCCCGGGGCCGGGAGCGGGGCTCCCGCTGCGCTGACGAAGCGGCCTCCGATTTCAGCGGCCGTTTGTAGAGAGCTGAGCCAACCCTCCTGCTTCCAGCTCTGAGGAAGGCTCTGCCGGCTCGGTGCGGCGGGGAGCATCGGCATCTCGGCGTTCCTTGGGAAAGTAAAGCAGCGAACGTCGCATTCTCAGTGCCGGCGCTGTAACTCCGCGTCCGATTTGCGTTCTCGAGCTGCTGATCGCATCAGCGGGCAAAAGCAGGATGCTGCGGCCGGCCGGCTGCAGAACGGTTCTCTTGCTTTATTTGCCCGCTGTGAGAAAAGCCCTCCCTACAAAAGGGGTCCGTGTGCCTCCTCTGGCTTCTGCAATGTAAAAATAGCTCCGGCCCTATGAGTAAGTGGCCTTTTGTGGAAGAAGGAGTGGAAAGCCGTCATTTGGTAACATCCTTTGGGCTTGCCACACAGCACTCTTGCCTAAGGCAGCCTTGCGTGTGCCTGTTGCTGTTAGGCTGTGTGTTAGCAAGGCCTGCTCCGTGCTCATACTCTAGCACCTCCAGTGAGGTGTTTGTCAGTGGGATATCGAGCTGTTAATGAGCTTCCAGGTAGTTCTGTTCAAGCAGTGATGTTGGCTTGAAAGTCAAGAAGCAGTGCTTTTTCAGCAGCTCAGTCCATGCTTGTTTTCATCTTGTGTTTGCAGCAGAGGGGGAAGAAGAGATGAGATCGGATTTGCTTCATTTCAAACCTGCAGGGGTCTGTAACAGCAGTTTCATATCTGATCTATGGTTGGGTTGGGTTATAAAGAGAACGGTACAAGAAGATGGGATTCTGTTCTCCCACAAAATGCCTTTGGAGCACCATTTTAGCACATAACCTCTTTGTTCTTAAATTTCTTAATTTTATAGCAGTAAACACAAATTTAGCTTTGTTTGTTTGTTTGTTTGTTTGTTTTAATGAAATCTTGTCTTTGGAGTCTGTATGCTCTGTGAGCTGAGCAGTTTGTTCCTAGCAGTGCTGGCATCCTATCCTACTGGGTAACAACCAGAAAACGCCTGGAGCAAAAACCATTTTGGTTTTTATTTGCAGGTTCCCAGAGCCTGGGTAGGTATGATGGCCTTTGGACTGTAGGTAGCACATAAGCTCTGTATTCACCTAGAGCCTCAAATTGCTTTAAACAATGGTAATTCTTTGGTTGCCCAAAGAGTCGGTGTGAGGAAAAGCTCACTTCTTCCATGTTGCTTCCACCGAAAATAGAAACGTGAGTCACTTGAGTGCTGAAGCTCAGTAGTGTGGGTGTCTGCATATATTGCCACAATAACCTAATTTCTCGGTAATTGAAGACTAGCCAATCCTATTGAGTCTGGAGGATGGGAGGAGTGATCTAACACGTCTCTCCCAGTCTTAACTTCCGTGATGGACAAGTGATAAAACTGGCACCCGTTGTTTTCCTGTACTGTTCTTCCCTTGCTCTGTTCTGAGCAATACTTTGTTTTTAGGCTGTTCAACTTTGCTGCTTTTTTTTTTTTTTTTTTTTTTTTTTAATTTTAAATTTAGGAACAAATAAAATGGCCCATAGTGCAAGGTGTTCTCCCTTGTCTTAAAGCAGAATACTCTCAGGATCTTCATTTTTATAATGCTTTCAAAGGAACATTAGAGCACTTTATGGAAATGAGTAGATAAAACATTATAATAAATTAACATACCAGAAGATATTAATCTCAAGCTGGTTTGAGGACGGGGGTGTGGACTTATTTTGGTATTGAAACACATATTTGATCTCATTTTGTGTACTGAAGCACTTAGTTAGAGGACCCCAAAGTGGGGCATGAGTAGGATCCTGTGCTGCATCTTATGGCTTTAGACAAAATTTTCTGTTGCAAGGAACAGGAACGTGTCAGGAGCTGCTCCTGCCATGCTGGCATGCCCAGGCTTCACTGTAGCAATTTCTGGGTCTTAGGCCCTAAAGCCCACGAGTTTCTTTGCCCTTGTACCCCCTTCAGCTTCTGGTACCTTCTTGGTTAGTTGTGAATGTAATCCTTTCTTTTTCCTTGTTTTTAATAGAGCAAACAAAACCCACCCTGGTGCCACAGGGACTATTGAGAAATGGTGCTTTCTTACCATAGGAGCAGACACAGCTGTGGTGTCACAGTCCTGTGGAGGTCCAGGTTTTACCTGGGATTCCAAAGGGAATTTTTAAAAGCAACTGAATTGCCTTCTGTCAGTGGTTCTTTGACAACATGCCTGTCCTTTCTCAAGAGTAAGATGTGATCCTGCTACTGAAGGAGGCTGAATTACTGCTGCAGAGGTTCCCATCTCCTGTTCTGGCAGCCTCTTTCCATCTGTGTGCGAAGTTACAAACTATGGCTGTATGCCTGAACTGTCAGACCTGTGAACCCATTAGCAAATGCTGAGATCCCATCGAAAACACTGCGCTCCAAAACTGCTTCCATAGCCTGGGACCAGTTGTGCAGCAGTGATCTTCTGTGTCCCAGAGATTGCCATGACAAAGAACTTCATGTGTCAGTAGTGATTGACTGCATAGGGAATACTAACATTTATCCCCTTCCCTCAGTTCTGATGTGCTCCAGCGAGGAGTGGAGCCATTCCCAAGAAATAAAAGCAGCCCACATGTTGCTCCCAAGGTTAGCCCAGCAGAAAAGCTGCAGCAGTGTTACAGGAAATGGTGTGTCTGTGCTGTATTGCATTAGGAATACTCGGGGTATGTGGGGGTTTGTAACAAGCTGCTGGTGTCAATGCAGCGAAAACCCAGCGCCCTTCCAGTGCAGAGCAGGTTTGCCATCCCTCTTCTTCCTCTCTCCTGGAAATAAAGTACTTTGTTTTAAGGCTATCACTGGAAGAATAATTATATTAACACACACTCCAGCTGCAAGAAACAGCCTAGTTCTCATTTTGTACAATATTGTGTAGTGAGATACATTTCCATTACAACATGCTTTCTCGTTATCCCAGAAAAGTACACTGGAAGAGGTGGGGCCTCGTTAGTGCCACAGCCTCCACACAGGGCACTGCTGTGTCCCACCAACAGAGCAAACTGAAGAGTGGTGCATGGAGAAGGGTGTGAAACTTGATTTAAAAGCTTCTACTTCGTGTGATGTCAATGTGTTGGGACCCTAAGGATGCGTTAAAGCTTAAAGCTGACACCACCAGACTTGTCCAGTACTGGTCTGTACAGCAGGGTGTTGAGTGCCTTGCTGAGTTCCGCTGGAAATGAAAGTCTGCTCCAGTGCCATTATGACTTTCCCTGGATTACTGATAGGTGTTTATAAACTGCACAGCACCCATTGTTCTGTCAGCCAATCTCTGGTGACACTTGATGCTTCTTAATGACTTTTAATTGCTCCAGTTTCACACTGGCATTTACTTCCATTAGTAGCTGCATGCACCCGTTAGCAGGTAAGACAGGATACTGCTGCTTTGATGGATTCCACCAAAAAGCACATTTGTGCTTCTGTGCATACGTGTAGCTAAAACGTTACTTTTCCAAAGGTTTCCTTCTGATCATTCCCTGGTTTAGACTTAAGCTACTGCCATATGCTTATGGGCAGCTAGTCACTAGTAGGCTCTCATTTCAGTATTCTTTAGGAACTACATTGGGTGAGCGCTGTTCCGTAGAAACATGAACAACAGATCACTCTTCTCATGTATTGCGACCTCAGAGTGAATCCTGACCTAATTAGAAGTGGGAGAGGTTTGCTTAATTGTGCTGTTAAAAGGACCTTAAAATGTTTCCTTCCCTCCAGTACTGTGGCATGGGATACCAGTGGGTTGTGAATTGCTCTCCTTTCCTTCTGTTGTTTCCTCACCTGTTTGAAAAGAATGCTAAGAATGTGCTGCTTGCAATCGAGGCCAGCACAGAGGACAGCTTCTCCAAGTGCTTTCTGCTTGCAAACATTAGCAAAGCTGCCCAGTGTTCTTCAGCTTTTGTTTAACAGTGCAGTTACTGAGTGATGCTCTCCTAACCTCTGGCACTACCTTAAATCTTCTGTGTATCTCCCAGTTACTGTTTATGTGTATATGTATAATGTGCTTTTTACTACAGGATGCTTTGCATGTGGAATGGAAAATGGATTCCGAGTTTATAATGCAGATCCACTCAAAGAAAAAGAGAAACAAGGTAAAATGCTTAATTATTATACCTTGCTAGCTTTGTGTTGGAAGCTCAGCCTTGTGTATGTATTTTTTTCCAAAACGATTCTTGCTTTTACATCCCTGGAAGGCTTAGAATAAAGCCTTATGAAAGAAATCCCTGCTGGTGTCAGAGGGGCTGTCACTTACACCACTGCCTCGTGAGATGTTCGTTTAGATGCTGCTAATTAGCATAAAGCTGGCTGCTGATGAAGTTGTCTCACCTTCGTACAGCGGCTGAACTGCAGGAGCTGCTACTGCTGTTTGTAGTCGCAAACAGGAAATGAGTTGTGTGGCTGCTGACAAGTGGGAGAAGAGTTGCTTGCTGCAGCATCACCGTGTGCCATCGTGAGGAGCTGTTCTGTCCTTGTGCAGCAGCCTGGACGATTGAGCACAACAATAAAACTGCTGCCCTGTTACTGGAGACCTGGACGTAAAGCTGCTTGTACTTGTGTGGAGCATTGCTTGCGAGAGCACTGTGAATTCAGACCTCTCACACTCGTGCTCTACGCTATAGATTCTCTTTGTGCTAAAAAAGCTGGGAGCATCCCGAAGCAGTAAACACACTGTTGTGCTTCACAGGAAGGTTTCGGTGTTAACAGGTAATGGGGTTTTATCAGCAGGCATTCAACTGAGTCACAGTGAGGGAAAATGAAATCCAGATGTGATTCTGACCTTAAGTGCAGAAGGAAAGCTGATACAGTGAACAGGTTTCCCTGTGCTGTCACTGTGGTGATAAACCAGAACGTAGATTTGTAAGAGGAGAAATGTATTCTAAAATAGCACTGCAGTTCCTATGAACCCAGGCATGCTTTTAATGCTGTAAGAGATTTCAGTCACAATTCATGTGACAAAAGCTGACAAATGACTTTCTGTTCCTAATAGTAAACTCTTCTACAAGTATCAAGCATTCTAACTTCCATCTGTGGCAGCATGCTGCAGATTCAGAAGTCAGTTTGAAGTCCTGTTGAGGTCGTTGTCAAAACTCTCCCTGATAGGAGCTCTGAGCGTGGAAAACTGTTGTGAAATGTTTCCTGTCTTCAGAGTTGTGTGGTCACATACAACATAAACTCCTCGTCCAGATGTGTGGCAGAGCCTCTTAATGCCTACCTGAATCTCAATCCTATCATTTATGCACATGTCTTAATCTTTCCATTGTAGTACCTCCACTCTCATCCCCTGATGTTTTTGCTGTTCTTTCCCATCCCTGTTTCTGACAGCAGTTCTCAATTGATTACTTGTGAGATCTCTGCTTTCTCTGTAGCTTTGGAAGAGCTGACTAGTTTCATCCATCTTTCTTACTGGAATGTGTCCACCTGTGGAAGTATTGGGCAGTCTGTTAAATAAAAGGTTTGGGTTGTGACTTGGATCATCCGAAGGCCACAGTTGTGGCCTCTTTCTGGTGACTGAACGCCAAACTTCCCTCTAAGCTATGTGAACAAAACCAAGACCCAACTCAAATGGCATCCGATGGCAAATCCTCTGCTTGATACTTGATTCTTCCACCATCACGGGATCTTATTCTACTTCCCCTGCAATTCAGGTTGTATGAAGAAGAAAACAAAAGTAGAACTGTATTCCTAGCAGTAAATAAGACAGGCTGTACCAGCTGCACTATTTTTCACTACATGTCCTGCACTGTGTACAGCTGGAGTGGAGGCTCTGTGCAGGTGGACTGTTCTTCTCAGGTGTCCTAACAGCTGTGGGCACACCCTGAGAACAGAAGTAAAGATTCTGTTTCAGTCACACATATATACGTTTTGTCTTCTTTCCTCAAATCCACCAAGACTATGAAGCCAGGTCCCATTGCACATGAAGAACTTCATGACCTTGTTGGTTGTCATATTTGGTATTTTCTAAATCCATACCATTGGCTTAATAGAGCAACACCAGACTCAGACTGTGTTCATGAAGGCAATTAGCTGGGGAAAGAATTTGAATTGGCCACTCATTCTTTCTAAACATATTTACAACATTAGTGTGTAATAGGAACGATCACACTCCCATGATATTGTTTGATCTGCTCTCATGCAGCATCTTTCTATAGAATTTTAACATCTTGCTGATTTTTTCTGCATGTGAAACGAGGGCTGTCCCAGCTGACAAGAGCAGCAGTGATCTGAGCTGTGCAAGTTTACTGTGATTCCTGGTCTTAAATCAAACAAACCAACCCTTCTCAGTCATGCAGTGCTCGGGTTTGCCTTGTCTGTCACCTCCACTCGGAGGATCCTGTTTTCTTTGGTTTGGTTTCGATATGAGGGTAAGAAGGTACCATTCTTTGCGGATGCCTGAGCAGCGTGGTGGATGACTTGAACTCCCCTGTAACTCTGGTAGCAATTAAAAGGCATTTTCACAGGTTGTGGTGCTTTAAATGAAATACGTTTGTCTTCCAGAATTTCCAGAGGGCGGTGTTGGCCACGTGGAAATGTTATTTCGCTGCAACTATTTAGCACTCGTAGGAGGAGGAAAGAAGCCCAAGTACCCTCCTAACAAAGGTACGGTCTTGAGTCTCACCAAACAGTTTGCAAACATTTGTCTTGCTAAGCTGTGTGAAACCACCCAGCCTGAACCCTAACCTTGAGATGGGCTCTTGTGTTCTGAAGGTTGTAAGGGAAGGGCTGCTGCAGCAGCTCTCAGTATTTGTTAACAGTTATCTGCAGTCTCTCAGACTCATTGCAGTGACAAAGGCTGTGCTTGGTTAGCTTTGCAAAGGGATCTTGGCTCAGCAGCTCTGGGGGGAAATGGCCCTTGGTTGGCAGGGTTGGTATGGAAACTTTGCCTATTGGGAGGGCTGTCAATGAAATAAAGAAATAGGAAAAAAAATAGTCTTTAGTAGAAGATATTTTTATTATCTGCTTTTGCATTTTGAGTTTTCCAGCCCCTGCCTGTAGGAGACATAGAATGGGTTGGTGGGTTGGTGTTAGGCAGAATGCCAACCTGTGAGTGCTTTGCTGCTGAAGGCACTTCTTGGTCTTCTCAGAAACTAGAAGTTGTTCTAATAGAGACTCTATGGATCTTCAGCTATGCTTTGGTGAACTAACACAGTCATCTCTGTACTGTTCCAGTAATGATCTGGGATGACCTGAAGAAGAAGACTGTCATTGAGATAGAATTTTCTACAGAAGTCAAAGCAGTTAAGCTGCGAAGAGATAGGTAGGTGCAGCACGTGTTCCAAATGGTCGGCCTTGTAGGTTATATGAGCAGCTCTTACTCATTTCCAGCCGTTTACAGAAATGAAAAGGTTTTGCTGTAACACTTAGCTTTCATTGCTGATGTCCTTTATTTAAAACAGGATCTTGGGGCAGGTGTTTAGGTTAACAGATCACAACTGGAGTGTATCTGAAACCTGATAAAAAGCCTGTGGGACTTTGTGGCCTTCTTTCAAAGGGCTGTGTTCTCATATGGCTGCTGCTGGCAGTGGTGTCTGTAGGTATGGTGTGTGTGATGAAATCAAGTGAATCTCTAGAACAAGAGCATTTGTTAGCAGCTGGAGTCCTGTGTATGTGTGGGCAGACGGGTTCTGCTGCCACAGCTCCAGATAAAAGTGCTTTGCAGGCTCACAGTTGTGTGGTTTTGGGTTTTTTTTTTTTTTTTTTTGCAGGGCTGAGAGTAGGAACAAATATTACAGTTGTTAAATCTGTTGAAAGCCTCTGCAGATCTGAATTAATACATGTCTGTCTTCTACCCTGCACCAAGTCATAGGAACTTCTTGTGTCTTTCAGAATTGTGGTAGTCCTGGATTCCATGATTAAAGTTTTCACATTCACACACAATCCCCACCAGCTGCACGTCTTTGAAACCTGCTACAACCCTAAAGGTTAGTGCTGTGTGTGGGCTGGGGAATGGAAGCAGTTTTATTTAGTTCTTGTAGTGCTGTTTATCTGTACATGCCTGATTTTGTTTCACTTAGTAAATCATTTACTTTACTTACAACACTTTACTTACAACAGCGTAGCCATGCCCTTTGAAGGTGATCTGTGTTTATAAAATGGTTGTTAAATTATATCCACATTTGGCTCTGAAAAGCTTTTTCTTCTACCCCTATAATGTTACTGCTTTGATTTCCCTAGGAGCTACATGCTTTCTTATGTAAAGCATCTGTGAACATAATGCTGAAATTATCAACAACCAAGGGCACAATTCCTCTTTTCTAATGAAGGTAGAACTGTCTGGAGACTTGTTCTCTACAGTGTCAGAAAGAGACTAATCAGCAAGGGATGACTTCGGTCTCTGGTTGTAATGAGTTGATTTGGAAATGTCAGCCAGTGTCCTGGACAGGCTGCAGTGCAGGGACAGCAGCTCTGGCACAGGTGGGCAGGGCTGAGGTTTGGCTTAAGGAATAGGTCAGTTGCAAAAAACAGAACAGCTTTCTGGAAGAAGAGCCTTGAGACTGAAGAGATGAGCACGTTTCCAGGTCAGCTGCACACCTGTGATGAGCTTTGTTGAGTGCAGGTCTAAAACTGGAGAAGTAAATGCTGGCTGAGTGGAAATCTAAATGAGTGTCACCTGCTGCAAACTCTTTGCTCTCTTAAGCTGCTAAGGAGACTTTTATTTTATTTTATTTTAAATGGCTTTGCTCTACCAGACTGGCAGAGCGGATCTCTGAAAGCACCCAGATGTTGGATAGCAAATAGATTACTTTAAAGTCATGATGGGAGGGAGTTAAAATTATGCTGTGCTCCTTCTTTATGGTCTGCACCTATGGATGGATCGGATTTTGGGATTCTGCAATAGCAACAGCCCTTAAAAGGAATTTCTGATTGACCACTTATGTTTGTTCTCCAATTACTGATATTTTGCAAACTGGTTTGAACAACGCATTGGGTCGTGGAAGCTACAAAGTTATTTTCCTTTTTTTTGTTTTGCAGGTCTCTGTGTCCTTTGTCCAAATAGTAATAATTCCCTCCTTGCGTTTCCTGGAACACACACTGGGCACGTGCAGATCGTGGATCTGGCCAACACAGAGAAGCCTCCCGTGGACATACCTGCTCACGAAGGCGTCCTGAGCTGTATAGCATTAAACCTGCAGGGAACAAGAATTGCAACAGCATCAGAAAAAGTAAGAACAATGACCACATACCTCTGACTTACTGCCCATTTTAGTGTGGGAACTCTTCTAAAACAGGGAGTTGTGTCCTCTCATGGGAAAGGCACAGATGTAACTCACTGGTCCATTTGTCTTTGAAATATACTTTTTTCTTTACTGCTTCTTCAGGAAATTCAAACAGCAATGGAAATGCAGCACTTGAGGTAGCATTCATATTCTAGCTGACTGTAGCTCTGACCCTTTAGTGAAATTTGTATGGAATTTGGCCCAAGCAGTTCATCAGTTCATGCTTTCTTCAGTAAATACTATTCAGTGGATTTTCTTTGTTTTGCTTTCTTTGGTTAGTTGTTGTTTTTTTAAAGACCTTTGTTGGGTTCTATTTAAGTTTTCTTACTCACTGGCTTTAAAGTTACACATGCAAGCAGGACTTACAGTGGAGGACTGCAGTTCTCCTCATACGCACACTGCAGGCGTGTTCATAGTGTGCAAAAATAAACCAGTAAAAAGGTTACTGGAGAACTGACTGCACTTTGTGTGGGCTTGAGTTTCATAGGGCTGCAGAGTTCAGTATGCTGACAAAACCCTGGCATTCCTGCGTAGTACAGATTGCTTTGGGATTGATGCAGACATGTAGAGGGAACACACAGCGAGTCACAGACCTGTGTCCCTGTATGGGTGTCAGTGGAGTCTGCCTACTGAGCTTCCTCTTCCCAGGGGGGCTCCCAGCTGTCCCAGTGAGCGTAAGGCAGGTGTGTAGGGGGCAGGCTGAGTGCTTGCTACCTTCTCTCCCTCAGCTACAATGAGTTTCTCAAGGATGATCTAAATTAATTCCACCAGTGTTTGGAATAGGTTCTGCTGTACAACCCATAGTTCAAAGAAGCCTGAAAAAAAGCAGTCACAGTCTCTCTTAACTAGGCATAGCTACTGGAATTCTTCTGAATGGAGCTTTTCGAGCTGCAAACTCCACTGCTAAAAAGAATAATGAGCTACTGGATGATGCTAAGAGACTATTCCTGTGGCTTTCAGTTGTTTTTCTTTTGGATAGAGCTCAAACAGCATTTTCAGACAATTTGTTTCAGGCAAACAGCCATATTGAATGTACTATATGTCCTAATACAATGCTCGATTCCTTCTCAAGGGGACCCTCATAAGAATATTTGATACTTCATCAGGGCATTTAATCCAGGAGCTACGCAGAGGATCACAGGCGGCCAATATATACTGGTATGTTTAATTGCTTCTGCTTTGTCTTCTTTGGGGTGCTGTTATGGCAGCCGAGCCTCTTTCAAAAAGCAAAGGAGAGCTGCACTGCCATGGGCACAAAGCAAAACACTTTTGGTGGTCAGGGGGCCGAGGGCCACGCTGGGGACTGTGTGCACTGTGCTGCTTCCTCTGCTCAGTATGGGTGAGGAAAAGCCATCGCAATGGGACCGTGCCTAGGGCTGCACCTTGGTAGATGCACATTTCTGTATAGAATAGGCTGTAGCTGGGTGGGAACTTCACACGGGAATATGGGGAAGGCAGCAATGCAGCTGAATGCTTCCCAGAGGGACCAGGAGGGTGAGTACCTGGTGTGAGCATAATGTTTATCGTAACACACTGCCACCCTGTGTGCAAGAGCCTGAGGCAGAAGTTTGACTCTTAGTCCGCTGCCTGAAACACTTTCCAGTGAAGAGGGGGAAAACTGCTTTCTTCTACTTAGCCTCAGCCTTTGGGTGTGGAAGTGTTTCCCATTGTATTTAATTGTATTTACCTGTCTGCTGATTGGAGCAGCAACTGTACATTTTCTTTTAATACAAGTGGCAGAACAGATCACGTCAGTTGTGTCCATCCCAGGGCAGTCTGCAGCTTGGCTGTTACTGATGAACCAGGTCCTCTGCGTTCTGATGTGTGTACTTACCCCTGAAGGGCTGTTCATTCCAGTCAGCAAAACTGCACTGAACTGGAGGAGCCATTAACACCTCCCCGGGCAGGATGACAGCTGCCCCAGACAACAGCTTAAGTGAGATTTTACACACAGGAAATGGGGATATGTTTCAGTGGAAATACTGCAGCTGTCCTTATTCTCTACAGCATTAACTTCAATCAGGATGCTTCCTTAATCTGCGTATCCAGTGACCATGGCACAGTACATATTTTTGCTGCAGAAGACCCCAAAAGAAATAAGCAGTCAAGGTAGGTTTTAAACCATTCCGAAGCCTGCGTGGAAGGAGTGGCTGCCCTTGCAATAGAGCACTGGGCCTGTCAGATAATGGCTCCCTGAGCAACAGCAACAACCAATACCTACACCACTTGAGCTGCTAATAGTAATCTGTTGTTCTGCTTGAATATAATTGCAAATTTAGGACTGCTTAGCAACTGCCATTTTTCTGCCCTCCATGGAGCTGTAGAATTCTTCCAGTGCGATGGTGGGGCTTTTCCAGTGACTGAGGAATTTATTCATAGCATGGTCATACTGTGGTAGTTACACAAAGGGATCTCTACTAAAATCAGTCCTCTTAGCAGTTTTGGCAGTCACTTAAAACCTAGAAAGCCAGAAAGGTAGTTGTACAGTCACCCTTCCCTGGGAGCAGAACTGCATATATTGCCTGATGCTTAGCTTGAAGGAAACAGGCAGTCAGTAACAGTAGCAGCCCTGAGATGTGCCAGCAGTTCTAAATCAACACTGGTCAACACTTTACTGAGTTGTCTGTTTCTTTTTTTTCTTCCTTTCAGTTTGGCCTCTGCCAGCTTTCTCCCTAAGTACTTCAGTTCCAAATGGAGTTTCTCCAAATTTCAGGTTCCCTCAGGCTCTCCGTGCATTTGTGCCTTTGGAACAGAGCCAAATGCTGTCTTAGGTAAGTACCAGGGGGTCCTCCAGGTTCTGTCTGGAGAAGCAGATTTTGCACCATGCTTGTTTGGAGCTGGAAGGAGTGTTCAGATGAGACAGCGTGGCAGGTGTGAGCAGGAGCTGCTGCTGCCAGACTGGGCTGAGGGCCTGCTCACAGCGCAGCCACCTGGCAGGCTGTCTGGGCTGACAGACACTGCATGAGGAGCAATTTATCTCAGGCTTTTCCGATTCTTGCAGGACACCTCTGTCAGTTTAAACGAGGTAAGAGAACAGCACTTCTCAAACAGCTGAACTGAAAATGACTTTGTTTTTGTTTCAGCAATATGTGCAGATGGCAGCTACTACAAGTTCTTATTCAACCAAAAAGGGGAATGCTCAAGGGATGTCTATGCTCAGTTTCTAGAAATGACCGATGACAAGCTTTGACTGAAGTGAGGGAGTGCACAGGTCAAAGTACTGCCTTGGCTATTCTGCATCTTTGGGAGGACAGTGTATGAATGTCCAATGCTGATCAAGAAGTTTAGCAGACCTCAGTGAGAAGCCTGGCCCACCACAATCGGAACAAGCTCTGAAGTAGGGGACTACATTTGTTTATTCTCATTTCTGCAAGCTTTCATCATTAAAATCTCTTTGGATTGCTGTCATCAATTCAAGTTTTCAAGTTGTGGCTTTCAAAAAGCTTGTGCCTATTGGGTTTCTCTTTAAACTGTGAAATGACTTCAGTTAAAACACGAGTGCCTGCCACACTGAAAGATCTGCAGGGGGCTGTGCAAATGTCAGGACTAGCCTTAGAAAAAGGGATGTGAAAGCAGAAGATTTTAGGCAGTGCTGGAAGTGGGGGGCAATACTTCCACTCAAACCCAAATACAACTCCACCAGCCGGGCTACAAAAGGACTTCAGCCTTTCCCCTTTCCCTGAACACGTCTCAGTGTACCAGAGGAGAGGTGTGTAGCCAGAAAAGACTGGAGCTTGAGCCGTGTTGGTTGGCTGGGGGTCGTCCTGTGGCTACAGCCCACTGCTTGTGTCCACCTGCCCACAGTGGCTCAGTTGAATGATCAGCACTAATGGTCAAAAGGTGCCAAACTGTACATAGTAGCTGAAGGCACATTTAGGCATTTGCTGACCCAACTAACCTCTCCTCAGTGCGTGGAGCAAGCAGCCAGGACACGGGCATGGGGAACTCCTGCAGCTGTAGAGGCAGTTCCTTCTGTAAGGGAACAGCCATTCCAGGTTCAAAAGGAAAAACCACCACCCGTGGTCCTGCTGTCACAGCTGTACAGATTGCTTGGAAAATTCCTGTACTTCAACTGGAAGAGTGGAGTGGCTGCTTACGCATCCAGCGCAATACATGAACCAGGTGGCACAGAGCAGCTGCTCTGCACTGGCTTTAAATGTGCAGAGTTTTTTTTTTCTTTTAGATGTACTGCATTACGTTTACCTTAGGAGGGGTAGGTTAGAATAAATCAGTTGCAAACTCTTTCCCCAAGTTGTGCAGCAGTTAAGATTTAATGCTGGGTTAAGGCACAGAATACTAAACTAGGAACTGAAATAGACACAAGCTCTCAGCACTTGGGGGAGGGAAGTCTTGCTCTTCTGAAATTTAATTTCACAGATGCTTCAAATCCGACATCCCAGTTCACATTAAGATTGTTTAGGTGCAGACTCTCTAAATTTGACAGTTTCTTTTAGTGTCATGTAACATACTGAGGACTAACTTCTACGCAGACTTCGATGTCAAGGTTGCATGTTGCTTTTATGTGTATTTAATCACAAATTGTTTTGCACACTTATTTGTAATATGTTATTTCTTTTAAATAAAAGTGACTAATTTTGCTGTACTCACGATCACACCCAGAGTTCCTATTGCTGCAGGCTTTAGGGAATATTTAGCTGAGCAAACAGTGCTGGATGGTAGAGGACAAACAGATTTGTGCTGCTTGGAGCCTGGTAATGCAGGCCGTGAAGTGCAGAGATTGCTGCCTAGGAAATGCTGCTATTTATACCAGAATGAGACCATCTCAGCACTGTCCCACTTCCAGTGACTGGACTGTGGTCTCCCTGGAGCAGTGCAGGAAGCCATCAGAAACTGCTCTGTAAGGATGATCCTTTCCCTCAGCCTCAGCAATATCCACTGCAGAGAGCTGCTCGTGCTCAGTCAGCTGCACAAAGCAAGGAAATGACTTTAACTAAACACGAAGCCTTCTGCACACTGCCTTGAAGGTTTCACCTCTCATCATCTACTGAAGCACCATCCCCTGACCTTCCATTCAATCAACCATAGTGGTGACCAGAAAGACTACGAGCAGACTGCTTGCATAATTAAAGCTCTTCCGAACATAAAATGTTCCCTGTTCTGGTGTGACACCAACTACAAACCCAAACACTGACAAACTGACAACTGAATCCATAGCACATGGCTAAATATACTGACTGCAGTGCCACGGCCTCGTTCTGCATCTTTACAGCCATTGAAAATGAGTTAAAAATAGGTCTTCCCACCTGCTGCAGGCTGCAGGCTGCTCAGCCAGTGCTTCCTTACATCACTTTTGGGCGCAGAACATGAAGTACATCATTCTAACTGAAAGCTATTGCAGTAAGAGCAATACTTGATCAATGTACCTCTACAACCACATTAACAGTATTTTAGTTACTCTCTCCAAAAGGTTGAAGAACGAGACCACGTCTCCACCCTGCTGATTGATTTATGGTACTGCACTGCTGAAGCATCCAGTTACACTGAAGCTCAGAACTAACAGTGGCACCAGCACAGCCCCCTGCGCTGCCTCACAGCGACACTCACCCGTGTTCCAGCCCTGACAAAGACACGCTCTGGTCCTCCTGGGCAGGCTGTCAGGACTTGCTTTGTTCACATGGAGGAGCACGCAGTGAACACAAGGCAACTGAAGGACCAGAGTGAGCAACCAGCTGCCTTGTGAGCAAGGCAAACTGTCAGAAGTCTGTTCTACGTGACAAAAGAGGATTAAATACATTTCAAAATGACAAATTGTCAGCTGGAGGTGAGCATCACCATCCACAGATCCAATAGCTTTTATTCCTTTCAGTGCAGCTGCCCATGGTGCAGGCTGCATCTGCTGGCAGCCAGGAGTAAGGTGCACATTTTGTAAATCTAAAGTTACTGCTATTCCTGAAAAGCAGTGTTTCCACCAGCAGCAGGATTTCAGTTACTGTCATCTTAGGTTTTGTCTGTTGTTATTTACACATAGCCAAACACCACCTCTTCCTCGTTTTCTTCTCTCTTTCCATAGTGGCTGTGTTATGCCACAGTCCTGAAAGGAAAACTAGATTAGCAATTAATTTCCAGGTAATTCCAAGTATTTGCCAGCAGGCACCAGAAGCCACAGCCACATCTGTGCCAAAGTCCAATCCCTGAGCTACTGCCGCTCTCTGGCTGCATCCCTGACCTCAGCATCAAATGCCAGCACGGGGTTCTCATGCATTAAGATGAGGAAAGATAGGGAGAAAAAAAAAAGCAAGTTGGGCTTGAACATTAGCTGGGAAAGAAACCAGCTCCACAAAGATGAGAAGAACATGGCAGTTAAAGCAGGCCCTGCACTTCCCAACTTCAGATGCTCTCTTTATCAATTAATTTTGTGTCAGGCTTTAAAGCAAAACAGAATCGTTTCAGGAAGCTCCACACACCTGGGCAAAATATTACAGCTTATTATGTAATAAATGCAGGCCTCACTCTTTACATACCAAGCAACTGAGGATTCGCAGTAAGAATGTTATACCATGTAGTTAAGACAAGTACAGAAAGGTTAATGGAAGCACTGGATGTGGTGTAAATGCTGCTGTGTATCTATCTCACAGCTATCAAATTCACACTATCTAAATCAAAGTCTGTATCAATGACTTCCAACCTCTTCCAACCAAAACTTACCTTTTTTGGGAAACCAGAATCAATTTACAACAACATTCTAACACAGACTGTTACCTGAAGTTCCATGTATGGAGTGACGTAATTGTAAAAGCTCCAAGTTTAAAATGAACCTGCATTACAAATACCATGAAAGGGAACGTAGAAGTCCTCGCAGCTTTGCCTCCCAGCCAGCAGCGTGCACTGCAAAGCACTTCACAAAGCAGGAGTGCTCTCAGGGAATAGCAGCATATTTACCTGCACCATCAGAAGGAAGGCTGGCACAAGGAGGGCTGCTGCTGTTGTGCTTCACATGCTGAGGTAATTGCAGAGGGTGGGCGAGGAGGCGGTGCAGCAACTCCAAACTGAGACAACACACTGACCAGAAGCAGCTTTTCTTCCAGCCCATCCACAGCCCTCTGGCTCTCATGGAAGACTCAGCGTTGCTTTGCTGTATGAGACACCCCACAACCCCATGACGACATCCAGCACGAGGACAGAGCTGTCACACCCAAAGGCAAAGATGTCATCTGTCCAGATGCCGCCTCCTTCCCCATCCCCACATTGGTGCTGGCTGCAAGCTGGGGCCACAACACAAAGCGGGTGGGAAGGCTGGGAGCCACGTCACGGAAGGACACAACATGCTGGCAGTGCAGATAAAGACATCTGTCACCAGAATTAGATGTGTGGTTGGGTCTGCTGTATATCAGAATTCTGAATCTGTTTCAGAAAGGGAGGGGCAGGGAGGAAAGCAACCAGACACAATGAAAATTAGATCAGATTCCTGAATCTTTTACACCTTGCAGCAAACTCAATGACAAGCAATGAAAATCAGGGCAGCTCTAAAGAAAATTAAGCTGGGTTGTTGTTTCTTTGTTTTTTAAGTTGTCCTTAAATTCCAATTAAAACACTGTATGTTGTTTGCTTACACCCAGCCATTTTCAAGGACTACACATAAGCTTTCAGCAGACGGAACACCAAACTGGCTGCGCAGGAGCACAAAAGGAAATCACACCGAGCACTGCAAAACATAAAAGTTAACAGACAGGTGACATCAATCCTAGAGAGGTCAAATCTCCATAAGAACCATCTCAAGAAATTTTCTGTTTGCAGAAGAAAAACCACATTGATTCCAGGAGTCCACGGCTGAGAGCAATTTCAGAAAGGTCAGGAGCATCGGCTGAAACACAGCGGTGTGCCAGCTGCGCCACCCAGCCTGCAATGCCGCGTGGGAAGCACTGCTGTACCAACGAGGGGAAGCACACAGCTGCACACACAGCAGGGTGCAACACCCTGGGACAGCCCCACTGCCCAGCCTGGTGCCAAGCAAGGCAGAGGAACCTGCACCCGACAAACAGATGAGAGATGATCCCAAAGGAGCGCAGTCAGCATCACCACAAACACGGCACTGTACGGAAAAGGTGAGCGGAGTTCTCCTATGGCACAGCTTTACTGAAGGGTTTCTCCATCCGAGCAAAGCTCCAAACCCCACACAACCAATGTGTGCCACCAGCAGCACTGCAGAACGGGGCCCAAAGCACATCCACACATCCCTGTGCTCAGAGTCCCGGCTGCTGCCACACCAGCAGCGCTTCCTCGGCGCCGCCGGCAGCCTCTGCACCGTCAGCACGCCGTTGCAACATGTTACACGGTTGTCAAACACACTTGTTGAGTCATTCCAACTTAGTTAATTTGCTGAATAAAATTTAATTTTATTTAAAAAAATCTTATACACTATTATTCACCTAGCCCTAGTTGTGAACAGATTCTCACTTCTGAAAATAAACCACATTCTAATCGATTCATTCAACACCAAATTAAATTACTAGTACTGGATTTTGTTTTCTTAAAAAAAGTATGTTAAAACTTTACTTTTTTATTTTTAAAACCTCTAAAGAAAATCTTGCAGTTTTACAGAAATGGTTTTTTTTCAGGTTATGCTCTTTGTTTTAAATGCCTGTTATAAATTCAGCTTGTGTAGAGTTCTGTTGTTGGTTTTTTTAAATAGATTTTTAATATGTATTATCTGCAGAGACATCATTGTAACAGTTCCATTTTGTGGATGAACACAAAACTTGTACAGATTTCTCGTATTTGGTCTTTAGGTAAATAGTTCCAAAAGCTGCCTCAATAAACCACTCCAAACTGTTCAGTCCGTCGAGAAAACACAGTTCTTTTCCTTTCGTAGCGGAAAAGGAAATATAAATAATGCATCATTATTACAGAAAGTGACAAAAATCAGGTTCAAATCAAGCCAGCTGTGCAGCGCTCACTCACTGTGCTGCGTGAAGAAATAAGACATGATGTGAACTGAAGACTGAACAGCAGCCTCGCGCTCAGCTCGCGTTTTTTACTGTAAAGTGGAATCTATTACCACAATTAAAGTGAGAAATTGCCACTACATTTTAAAATGTTCAACTGCAGAACACACACTTAAGTCTTCTTTATTGTAATCATTCGGTAGCCACTGTTAGAAAACCACAACAGCTACTGTGGATGGAGACCCGGGTCAGTGTTTGACATCAGAAGTGTTACGGAGAAAACTGGTCAGATTAATTCCTACAGATGGGTGCTTAAGCTTAAAAATATCGAATATACCTCTGACAAGATAATTTTAACTCTCTTTTTAAAAGGACTCGTGATAAAGAACTTCATCTTTTCTAAATGAAGAACAGTCTGTTATCTTAAACATACACAATATTAAGCGAGACTCTCGTTTTACTTTAGACTGGAAAAATATGCCAGGGACAGTCAAAGTCAACACAAAGTAACAAACAGCAAAAGGTAGCAGAGAGAGAAACAGATAAGTGCAGCTCTGGTCAAATTCATAGCAGTTCTTTACGTCAGTTAACGGCTCATTTACATCGTAATTTCTAATCAGTTACATGCAAGCCCAAAGAAGCATTTGATCACTACACATGGTAATAAAATTTGATTAAATTTATCAGGCAACTGCTAAAATATGAAAATTTGCAGATGTAATAAAGTAGCTTTATCTGAACTTTAAGAGGACAGACAAAAGTAAATCATTCCGTCGGTTAAAAAAACCCTACATTCAGTTTTTTACCAAACAAAATTTCACATGAAAAGTATTGTGTGATTCCAAAGTTTCCGGAGTAGAAATGGAGTGATTTGAAATGTCAAAGACCCCATCGTTTTGCAAAGAAATGAAAATACACCTCAAAAATTTCTAATTCCACATGTGAACAACAAAATACTGCATATCTACCAACAACTGCATTGGGTAGGTCATTATGAAAGGCTAGCTGCCAAGATGTAGGAAATGGCTCCTTGCCTCTGTTCCCTTTGAGGAATATACAATCGTTTGAAACCAGTTCACACTAAGCGCTTATCATGCTGCCGTTACACTGAGATGCTCAGTCCTTAAAATCATCTGATAAAGACTTTTTTAAAGCTGCAGCCCTCCCCAGCACTGTACTTCTCAGCGCACACAGTTCATAGGGGCAGGGAGGAGCGGGGTCACAGCCTCTGGAACAACATGTTTTGCAGTTTGACTTTAAGTTACCAAGTTTTAAGGCCACCTGTGTTGGTTTATTTTTCAGTGCTGAACGTTGAAGTCTGATCACAGGGCCCCTTTCCCCACTGCGTGAGAACATGTTCCAAGATTTTAGGTGTTATATTTAAGTGTCTCCTTTTGGCACCACGGAGTTTGTTGTTGGTTGGTTTTTTTTTGTGTGTTTTTTTTTGTTTTTGTTTGTTTAAAAAAAAAAAAAAAAAAAAGAAAGAAAGAAAGAAAGCAAACTCTAAGTTTCTAGTTCTGGCTGCCTTTATCGCTCACTGCCACAGGCGGGGTGTCCACGTTAACAGCTATCACTATGCTCTCCCCATCCTCTGTTTTGATACGTTTCAGTTCCTGCTGTTCCGACTGGTCTCCGTTCTGGCGCTTTGTTGGAAGCGATGCTGAGGCGGACGCGTGGGTTGCCAACATATGCAAAGGACTTGCAGCAGCTGCAAAAAGATAACACAACTTCAGCATAACATAAAGATAACACAACTTCAGCACCTAATCCTCGTTGGAACAGGTGAGACTGAAAGCAAACATGCACTGCCATCAAAGCGCTGCACTACAGCGGGGCGTCTGTCAGCCCAGGCGAGATTCAGCTGCAACCATTTAACCTCTGCACAAACCCACAGACGTTGCTGTAAATCACTCACCGATCACACAGATAGGGACAGAGGTGGGAAAAAGGGACCTTAAGTACCTCCATTCTGTCAGTGGGGAACTGAACACAGAAAGAGATTAAATGATATAAAGCCAATCTCTGAAATATCCGTGACAGAACTGGGAAGGGAATTTAGAACCTCCCTGAAGGAGGATCTGGCCGTGGCTGTGGATGTGCAGATCCTGTCTGTGCACAACGCAGTGCTTGGCCAGGAAGAACAGCACCAGCTCATATTCATTGCTGGCCATGAGTTATTCAACAAAAGCAATGCAAAGCACACAGCCAGGAGATGCAGATAACTCGAGCATCACTTCCTCTCTGATAGATAGTTAATCACCCACAGTGTAAGGAAAACAAGAGTGGCTTAATGAGAAGGTTTAAGAAATTACTGTCTGATGAAAGTGAATCAGATAACAGAAATGTAAGTGCTTAAAACATGCTACAGCAGATTGTCATACTTGTCATTACATGGAAACAACAGCACACCAGTCACCATTACAAGCAAGCACAGTCCTGCAGTCATCACATCCAAGGGTGCTTTCCCTCTAACTGTTAAAAGGTCATTTCTCAATTTTGATTTTCTTCATCTGACTATTCACATGTCTTTGGCAAATAATACAAAATACCAATTATATTTACTTGTTCATTGCATTTCATGAAAGCTTGTCTAAACACCATCTACTGACCTGCTTTTTACACATTAACTCCCTGTCTTTGGCATCACAGCTTTGCTGAGAATACCATGGAATTCTGTTAGTGGAGCTCGAACATCAAGAGCTCAACGAATTCATATTTGCTGAAATTCTTGGTTCTTAGCAAACTATTCCAGTGAATACCTGGAATCACCACTGCAAATAACCAAACTGCCTTGTACTCAGTGTGTACTTGCAGAACAAACTCGTTGGAAAACACTTCATGTGACTCTTGGCTCAACTCTGATTGAAGAAAAAATGTGCATTTAGTCTGACAGTAACTCCCTTTGCTTTACTTGTGCTGAAATGAAGCAGAAGCAGACAGAACACTGACCTGTAAGTACTATACTTCAGTAAGAGAACTGATGACAGAGACGGAATAAAAAGGATACAAAACAAATAATTCACTCCATTAGTAGGATTTTACTGAAATAAATGCATGTAATGAAGAGTTTTGGGCTTCCTTGTATCAATTTCCAGAAGTGTAATTTATGAGAAAATACTGCAGCACCAGGTAACGTATAAAAGTGAAACTGTTGAAACAAACTACATATATCTGCAAACCAATCCAAAATTGAATGTATCTGTAAATCACAACACAGGCTGAATAATAAGAATTGTGAAGAGGTACCACTGCTCACACAGACTGCTGAGTCTGAGATGGGCAAGACAGCATGCAGACAGAACCACCTCAAAATCAGAGAAAGCTCGTTAATTTTAGCGCCCTGCTTTTGTACAGGTTGAATAAAAACAAGAAAGAAGTAACAGTCCAAAAAGCCAGTGTGTTTAACCACAGAACACAAAGAGTTGGAAGAGACCCATTAAAGATCATCGAGTCCAACTCCTATCAACAAGAGAAGATGGGCTGTCATCACTGGAAAATCCCTACAGCGACCGCAGAGCCAATAAAAAGCTCTCAGGCAATCTCCAATGAAAAGAAAACATGAGCTCTTACCAAGAGAGAGAACAATCTCACACAAGGCTGTAATCAAACTTTTTTAGTACAAATTATGTTTTCAGTACGACTACAAAATACAAGAGAAAGCACAAGAAAAGATTCAGCACTGGCCACTGTGAGGTTTTAGCACAGCCAGAGCAGCAGAACAGCCCGACACAACACTCACCAGCATTGCCCTGCCCTTGTATTGCAGTGGTGATGGGTACTATGTGCGTTCCGTTTTGCGTTACAGTTTTTATTGGTAGCTGGTGTTGACCTAGAGGTGCCTGTTGCACTATAGTGACTGTCTGTAAAGGTGTAGTCTGAGATGTCTGAATGATACGACTAGCAGCTCCGATTGTAGCATGGCTAATAGCAGGTATAGGCTCCACTTTCACTGAAAAACAGATGAGAAAGCATCAGTGAAAAACAAGAAAGCATTAAAAAAAACAACAATTCACATTTACTATGTCAGCCCTCAGTGAAGATGTATACTGTTATGTTCTGAGCTCCGAGCTATGTGAGAAATTAACGATGCAAATCCTCAGTTTTAGCATGGAAATCATTTTTGAATAATAACCAACCAGAGCAACCAACCCACACGTTCTCACCTTTTACTTCCTTGTGGTCTCCATTCTCTTGAGGTTCTACCTTGGGCTGGGTTACCATTGCAGCTTGCGTGACTACTGCCTGTCCAGCTACAGTGTAAGTGTTTGCTGGTGCTAATCCAGTCACATTTGTGACAGACACAGCTGGTATCTGGTGAACAACATGAACTGTCTGAACTACAGGCTGCTGGGATGTTGATGTTGTCACAGGAGTTGCAACAGTGTAGGTGACGGGTTTAATAGTTTGTGGTAGCTGCCGTTGTACAGTAATTAAAACTGGTTGGCTAGATAGAGGTGATCCTAGCAAGGAAGAGAGAAAAATCAGGCTGCTGAATTATGTCATTTAAACCAGTCGTTCTATTAAACTTACTGCTAAAGCCTGAGAGGATTAATGACCTCCTTCACTCATCCCTGACAAAAGCAGACATCGATTACAGCACAACTCCTCCAAGCCACATATTCCAGGTAAGCGCCTCGTTAGCTCAGTTAGAGCTGCTGATTGGGGCAGGAGCTCCACCCCCCACCACAGCCCTGCAGCTACCACAGCTATGTTTGATCTTTATTCAGTGAAACTCCTTCCACAGACGGGAACTAACGTGTGCTTCAGTGCTGCATGGAAGCTTTCCACACAGGAACAACTCCCAGCTTCCCAGCCCCTGCTGAGGGCTGCTGGCTTTGTCACAGAACATTTATTTCTACTTTCACAGGAATATCACTGAGAAGATGGATGGCAAAGTGCATCAGCTAAGGTAATTAAACAAACAATCCTTATTCCATTTCACCTTCCCCTCTTTTTTGGTGTTTTTTTTGTGTTTGTTTGTTTTGTTTTTATTTTTTAAGGAGAATTTGTGCCTTGTCTCCTTAGCCTTATAATTCTGTTCTATGTCCAGCATCAAACAGATGGAATGACCACAGATGCATGCAGGACATCTGCTTCTTTCCATAGCCTACACTTAGGTTGGTTGTTTTTTTTTTTGTTTGTTTGTTTTTTCCTCTAACCCAGAAAGAGCACATTTCCAAACATAGCAAAAGCCATTACAAGGCAGCATGGCTCAATTCAGCACAGAAGTACAAATCTCTGCTTACTATTAAAGCAATCAAGGGTTCTGGAACCCAGAGATAACATCACCTGTGGGTCTGCAAAGAGTATTTACCTGGAACACGTGTGTATTATTCAGTGTTTGTTATATATTTTAAGACAAACATTTACTCTTTGTTTCTTTTTGTTTCTATGCAAAGCCCTGGTAACACAGACAGGCCAACCCTCTCCCACCTCCAACCCCCACACACTTCTTTCAGGATCCTCACCTGGGGCACTCTGTGCAAATCGTGCTTCTTGTATTACCGCTAGTTTTGGCTGGATAGCACTAGGCTCAGGTTCCATTGGGACTGGAGATCCTTCCCTGGACAGACTCTCGGGGGTCTGGACTCCACTGGAGTGTGCAGACAGCACTCCAGAGTGATTAGGAGAGGCTGGGGCACTTCTGTATTCAAAAACGAAAGCAGCAGCTGACGTGTTTTAACTTCTGAACTGCGAAAGACAGCGACCTTCCTCTACAGAGACTGTAACACACACTGCCCACAGGAGGGCACTTGTGCCTTCTGGCAAGTACAGTTACAACCCAGAGCAGTTTTGAAAAAGCTTCTGTTAAACAAGAACAGAATTTAAAAGCAAACTTCAGGTGCAGTTAATGGAATGGAAGCGGCTGGATGCCTTCCTAGGGAGACTCCCTACAACCATCTGTGAAATATAAACATTTCTTTTGGTGGAGAAGGATGAAAATGTATTGGACTAAAGGGCAACTCAAAAAAATGTGCACCACCAAGAAGGTCATAACTTTACAAAGGGAATCATTAAAAGCCATGTATTTCCCCATCACAAATTCTGCTTGGACATTATCAAATTAAAACGCACACTTGTAATTTCTAAGCTCAAAATAATGGTAGCTGGTATTTGGTTATTTTCTTTGTAAACTGTTTTAGAATTCTGTAGATGGCAGTTAGAAATTAAAATTGTAATTCTGTAAAGAAAAAAACAACACAACAAAGGTACAGCAAGGCTTGCTTACGTTAACATCTGACAGTTAGGCATACAGAGTCAGTTCTTTAACACAAGCAATAAAAACAAACCTAGCGTATGGGGCAGCCTCCTAGCAAAGTTTATCATACAGAATTCAAACACTGAGCCTGGATTTAATTAAATTACTGAACTTGTGACTGTATCCAAAACTATCAAGTCTGTATCAGCCTGAAGATTAAACAACAGCCATAGTCTTTTTGTTCATCTGTTTTTCCTTACCTAGAAGAGAGTGGTCCCAGAGGGGTTCTAAAGCAAGGTACTCCCCTAGGCCGCCTTTTCCTAAAAGCCTGCTCTATTAATTTGCTTTCAGAGGCAGGGTCTATCCTCCAGAATGAGCCTTTGCCTGGTTCTTCCTGGGAACGTGGTACTTTGATGAAATAACGATTCAGAGAGAGATTGTGACGTATTGAATTCTATGGAACATAAAAAAATATGTAGAATTCATATAACTTTTTCAAGTCAGAATGTGGCCTACTGCAGCAATGTGTACTACAGGACACTCGGGGTTCAGTTTCTTTAATTCCATACTTCAACAGGAGTCACACACTGCCAACGCAGCGCCATGAACCTCAAAGGACTCTGGCATTTTCCAAATCTTTCCCAACAATTAAAAACCAGTATGTTAATGTGATACATGGTGACTTTCACAGTTAGAACACTACAAGTATTTGACCATAATGCAGTGCAAAAAACCAAAAAATAGCAGCCCTCATATCCTCATAATACCACCCTTCCCCAGGTGTCAAGGAAAATATCAGACTGTACTATGAGGGCCAGAAAAGAATGTGCTGATACTGATCTTACACGATTACACTTTGTTGCTGTTCCAAATACAGAAGGAAAAGGTTAAATTTCACAAGCTCCAAATACTGAGATTGTTGGGAGTTCACCCACAGTCCAGCCTGCCTCAGCAGAGCAGCCAAGGACTCAGCATGTCCAGCAGGACAACAAATGGCAGTAGGTCCTCACACAGCTCCTCGGTGAGATCCCTGTTACTCCAGCCTGGTTTGCACGCTACCTCATCCTCACGTGGCTGTTTGTGCTGCAACTCACACAACTTTGATCAAAGAGATGCAGAGAACTGCTAATGCTCCAAAGTGTCTGTATCTACCTCTGCTTGCCTTTGTGCACATCCTTTTTTTCTTCCTTTCCCCAATATAAATCCCAAATCTTTCTAAATATTGTCACTGAATAACAAGAAAGTAAGTACAAGAATAAGTAGTGAAAAACTTGTGAGAGAACAGAGGGGGGGGAATGGAGAAAAAGCTTTACATTAATAAAAGCTCCTCAAAATTTCCAAGACCAAATGTAAATCCAGCTGAAGTGTCAGCATTCGGGACCCTGGGAATAAGTTTGGAACACCTAAAAAAAAAATTGATGATAACCATGCATGGTTTCTTAAATACGAACTGATGAAACCAGAAAATCTTTTCCTCAGCCAAAAATTGAAAAAGAACTGAAAAGATGCCAAGAACATGTTTATAAATTGTATTTATTTCTCCATATGCTGGAACAAAAAAGTAGATCCAAAAGCACCTGCTAAAATAAGATCACAAAGAGGAGTCCTCAACAAAATGAGTTTTATGTAATAGGGGATATAAATACTGCAGTGCTGCTAATTAAGGGATGGGATCTGGACGTTATTTGCATGCATGTACTGTCTGGTTTGAATAATATTCAAATATAGCCTCAAATATTACTTAAGGCATCAATCAGATAAGTCACCTTACCTATCATCTAATACCTGATAATTAAAAGCTAGCAGAGCTGTTACACATGAGCTGCCCCTGTCAGTGCTCCTGCACTGTTTATGTGACCAGTTACTTAACAGCATCTCATTTCCAGCTGCTTTTTTAATTTGTTTTTCAGTAGAAATAGGTGCTAACTATTTATTCTGGGACACATCTGCTTTGCTGTGTCCACCACCTCGGTTCAGTCAAGTATTTTTGTCCTAAGCCAGAATTCTGTGTGTTACACTGTATGTGTGTGTGTGACTACATGAGGCTCGCTCACATAAGGAAGCATTATATGCACAGATAATGATTCCAAATCAGGAAGCAAAAAGCACGCCAACGTTTTGTAAGCAGAACCCTATTGCTAAAACATATCTGTCAGTATTTCTGCAACCAGAATTCTGCACTGATCACTTGAGAAAGGGAAAAAAAAATCTTACAGGTCCTTCCCAGTCACAATAAGAGTGAAGTCCTTTACTAGCCAAAGTATTACAAAATCCTTGTAGAAGTGCCATTCCCCATTAACCTTGCAATTCTCCTATGAGTGATTCAACTTTCATATAGGCTCAATGACAAATCAGCACGTAATTCATATTTGAAATCTGTTCCTCTACTGAGAAGGTGTGTACTCTCTGGTCTCCTGTAAGTACAGCAAGCAGATACTCTTCCTCACTTTTACCCTCCTTCAGTCTCCCCAGATTTTATTTCCCTGCACAGAAGTTCAGAGCATGCCTCTGCTGTACATCACGACTGTGCTAAGAGCAGCACTGTGAAAATGATCCTTCATGACGGACAGTGCAGCCTGAATGCCACATATACAAACTTGCCAGTCCTGCTAATTGTGCTCTTCTGTCCTTCACTGACACTAAAAACAGCAGCAAAGGCATTGAACCCTTATGTGTATCTGGAAAGACCGTGCCAGACTGATTCATATTCCGTTAGTCATCCTGGCAAATGCTGAGGCTAGTCTCTTGGAAAGTGAAAAGAAAGCAGAAATTAATTCTACAGGGTTTGGTCTAACTCAGAACAGAAACAACCCATTCACAAATGGAATACTGCAGAAGTGCATCAGGCACACAGCGCAAGGGAACAACATGCATACATACTCACTCCTTCACTGTATTGTATGGTCAAGATCCCAAATGCCCAAATGAACCTGAACCCAGAACATTAGGTATCCTAATTCTATCCCAATATGACAACATGCATGTTTACGCTGTGTGAAGTTACAGAACAGAACTGCATCCCCAGACACTAACATGTGCTTAAATCCACAGCTCTAGCTACATTTTTCTTCCCCAGAAGTCTGTATGTGTCACTGCCAGAGCTTTAGAGAATACTATTCCATAAACAGAGCAATGCTTCAAACATAAAATAACGTTAATTGCCTACTTTGTTGGAGATTCAATCAGAAAAAGATAAATTTTAACCAACACTGATTTGAGAAGTTGTATTTACAGAGGGCCATTAGGCTCGCCAACTGACTTAGGACCAAGTATGCAGAGAGCACTACTCTCAACTAAGAGAACCTTCTAGAAATCAAGCTTACCTGCCAGCCCTTGTCTGCTGTCCTGTAGTATGGATAATTTTTAGTTATGTGCGTATAGATTCCATTTAGTGTAAGCTGCTTATCAGGTGCCATTGTAATTGCTTGTACTATTAACTGTGCATAGGAGTAAGGTGGCTTGGAGTCGTCCTGCAGAGGAAAAATGAAAATTCTGCATCAATAAAAATGTAAAAACTTTATGAACTGAATTGCAAAGCAATTAATGCCTTAAGCACTTCTGGACAACCAGAATATTCAAACAGAAAAACTAAGACAATTTTGCTCTTCTGTTTTGCAAATTGTAAATTAACACTAAGAAAAAAAAAAGGAGAAACAAATGCCACTAAAGAATGCCTACAAAGATACACACACACATACACACAGACCTCTTTGAAGGTGAGGAGGGAATGGGAGCATCAGAATAAACATCGTGTCTCATCACAAAGAACTCACAATTATTTTGAAGTTTGAAATGCTGGGCTATGATTTAATGCATAAAAGGTGGCTGACAAAATTTCAGAAGTATTGCATTCACTGCAAACATCACATATGGGTTTTATTTCAAACAGTGCTTACCTTTGGGCTGTCTCCACCCGATGCCTCCTTGTCATTTTCTGACTGAGAATTGTCAGCCATTAAATGTAGGTCAGATGGTATCACACGACTCATTTTGTACCCTGAAGAGCCTGCACCACGGGGGCTAGATGGGCAGGAATTTGCAGCACTGTTGAGCATAAAAAGAAGATCCTACTATTTTGTTATACAGTATATCACCACATTATATTTTATCAAAAAGCTCTTATTGCAGAAAAGCCCACTATCAGTGCTTCTAGACCACAGTTAAGGGCCTGTCAGTATTTCCATTATAAAACCTATTTTCCAAGCCCTTCTAACTCATCCATGAGCATTAAAATCACTGCAGGAAGAAACCTGTCAGATGATGCTCAGGCTTTCCTCCTCAAAGGAAAAGGGATTAACTGATTTATTAGGTTGTACTGTATTTGGGTGAGATTTGCCTACATGGAAGTCCATTTTAACTACATAAGCAACCACACATTTTAAGACACTCATTTGAAACAAGAAACACATCTTGCCTGAAATCTCTGCCATATGCTTGTATTTTGTCTACTCAGAAAGATCTTGTTCTGTGCAGTATTTCTGCACATGAGAAAATATAAAAAGCAGTGAGGCAAAAAAAAATAAATTGATTCTCATTAAAATCTAAAACATTATTTTAAACATTTGCAAGCGTGTTCATACACACACACACACATATATATATAAAAGCGATGAATGCTATGAACAGGAAGCATCAGCACTGACTTATCTGACTGCACTCTGTATTACATCAGCAGAGCAAATACTGTGCCAGAAAGTGAAAGCACCAATGAAAGGGAAGAAGTGAGGCCCTCTGACTCCTCACGTTTTGCTACCCACCACAGAAAAGCAGAGCTAAAATTGGAGCACCTTTCCTAAGGGCTGCTCTCCTGCCCCATGAGCCCACACGAACTACAGCAGCACAAAAATGGTTTTACTTCCACAATTTCATTTTGCCAACAGGAAAGACAAAGTCACTGAGTGATGTCTGTCTCCTCCAAATAAAACCAAAACTCTGGCAGCTCTCCATTGGGGCACACGCTTCTCAGCGACTGTAACTCATTTCAGCAGTCCCCAGCACTTCCAACATTCAACTAAAAACTACAATAGTAAAGAGGGTGCAGCCTTATCTGCAAAGGCGATCTGAGAAATCCAGCACAGCCACTTGTTACCTGCCAGCAATACGCCATACAAGGGAGACTGGATTTCTGAAGCACTGCATGGAAGAATCCTTGATCAGAACCAAAATATCTGACTACTTTTATTACACTTTTTAATATAGGTCACTGCTGTTCTGTGTTTTTACAGATCAACTGACAACATCCTTCCACTGAGCTCACTTCAGCATATATTGACAAAGCAACACACATGGGTACACACAAAGCAAGCTTACAAGTCCTGTCCAAAACAGGATGATTGGAAGAGAAACTGTCAAGCTCTGCTCTCAAAATAGACTCAAAACTGTCATCTTTTTTTTCTGTAATAAAGTGTGCTCAACAGGTGCACGAAAGCCCTGAAAAGAATTGCAAAATTCATAGTGAGGCAAAGACTGTGGTGATACACATGATATTATCTGCAGCATTTATGAGTTGCTCTATCATTTCATAAGCAAAAAATATTTTCCTTGAATTTTAATCAGAAGGCAAACCTGTTACACAGACAAGTCAAAATCTCTCTCTATTTCCACCATCTGTATAGATCTCATTAAACACTGCAACACTGAGATGAAGGTCTTGGCAAACAGGAAAGAAGTCAATTATCCTCCATTCAAATCTCATTAACAGTAGGTACATTTTTCAAAACCAATCATTCACAGTCCATCACCCAAGTGAGGCCCACAAGAAGCACGGAGCAAGTACATGGTTTGCAAAAGCAACTTTCAGGGACTTGAAATGAAGTTTTTGCTCCAGCACTTTCTATCTAAACTAATTTTATCAGCTTATCAGGACAGCTGGTGTTTGTTTCATTATTTTGGTCCCAAACAAAGAGTCACATGGTGACAACAATTACCAAATCAAGCAGCACAATGAATAAAAAACCCAAATTAACCTCCCTTGCAGATGACCTCCCTACACTAAACTTCTCATGTTCTATTTCAGTTTATGTGCTTTGTTTACTTTCAGTAATGACTGGTCACTAAAAAATCATCTTTCAGAATTAAAAATCAGTCTATTTTCCACACTAACGATAACCAAAGACTATAAAAACACCACCAAAGTCGCTTGGAAAGAAAGTAAAACATGTGCTCCTTTCTTCTAAGAATGTTACACTCCAGAGCAAACTGCTACAGGTCTAAGAAATTAGGTGTAAGTACTCAAGGCTGCTGATGTAACTGTTTTCACAGGTAGCAGAACTGAAGCTTCATCACAGAAGCAGAATACTGAAAGCATATTACAAAATGGTCTGAATTCTGTAACCATTCTCTTGCCCTGTATTCCATCTGCAGGGTTTAAATACCTGATAGTTCCTGTGGGAGAAGGGAGAGGGCTGATCAGGTGAGCCATGTTGTCTGGAATGTTTATCGTTAAGGGAGAGATCTGGGGTTGCACAGGCTTCACTGGGGACTCCGGGGCCTCCTGTTTTTCTCTCTTCTCATTGGACAGAGCAGTGAATGTTATCTTTATGTTTGTGCTGGGAAACCTGAAAGTACAGCTGAAAAATGAAAAACAAACACGTAAGTCACTTGTTTACACAGCATAAGAGTTTTTTTTGCATGATTTGCACCTATCACTGTATCTAAAAATACAAAGGTATGCTGCCTTGCACAATTACTTGCAACCACCTTCATTCTACTGATCACACGAAGATCAGCGTGACCAGAAACAGATCCACAAGTGAGCAAGTTCAGAATTTGGAAAGACATAAACAAAGGCACTTATTTGTAACGACAGCACTTCATGTGTAGTCTCTGCATTTCCTGAGGTTCATCCTAACCTTGCAACTACCCCTAAAAAAGTATTATTTTGGTATTATTTTTTGAAGACAAATGCTATTTGCCAGATGTCAAACAACAGCTCCTGTAAAGGAGCAAGCAAGACAAGCAGAACTCACCAGGAGCATAAAGATAGGCAAATCTGAGCCTTAATCAGCTTCATGGACTGCTCCAGCTAAAAGACTGCTCCGTTTTCTCTTCGTACACATATTGAATCCAACACCTGTCAGTCCTAAGGCCATCATCTGCAGAGTGCATGGCTGCTGCACTACCACTTTTAGGTATGTGTTGGTAAAGCTGAATTTAAGAGCCAAGTTCAATAAATTTCCATTTACACAAATGACCAACTTCTGTACCCCTAAATTGAAAAACTGATTATAATCTGGCAGTAAATTAACAATGTGAGTTGTTGGAAAATGAAGTACAACTACCGCACACGTGAACGTTTTCCTTCTGTCCCCCCATCTTTCCATGCAGGTATTCACAAGTTAACCCAGTTACACAGAACAGGTTATTTATAACTTCTCAGAACTAAACAGACTGAGTTAACAAGAAACTTCATTTTCTCTCAACAAAAGGATCTACAAAGGCTCCGTTCAAGGAACTTTGCCACCTCCTCTCTTTTAATTAAGCTGTCAGACTGCACTCAGCACTAAGCCCCCAACTGTATTTACACATCCCTCCCAAACCATGAATACAACTTTTAAATGCTGTATGACCTACAAACAAACCTTCACAATCGTTTTTTAAATGATTCTGTGTAGGTCTGGTTTTAAAAGGATAGAAACCAGCATACTGGAACAGGTCTGAGGGATGCAGCCATGAACACAAGCAGCACACTGTAAATAAATGGCATCACTGCTTTGAAGAGATTGTATTCAATGTCAAAATTCCATGAGAACTGGAAGGAAGGCTGAGCTGAACAGCAGCATTGGAAGCATCAATTCTCATACTCTTTGGGTTCTACTTCTTAAAGCATATTTATAAAGCAAAGAAAGCATCTGCCTTTTACTACACCTCTTGTGATGCATGCATCCATTGCAGAGATTCCTTTTTCCCCTGCAGTTTACATTCAAGCATCAGGAAAAGAAGCGAGCAGTGATGCTGACCTCCCTTTTCTCTCTGCCTCACTTCTCAGTATGGACTCTTAACAGACGACCTATTTCTGAAACACGCTCCATGTGCTAAATCAGGAACAGAATCCATGCCAAAAAAATGCAGATGCACTTCAGCAAAAAAGTTGAGTGAACCAAATTCTGCTTTTTTAGTATCTCCTGCTCACTACCATGCTTTCCCTCTCAGAAAGCATTTTCTGCCTGTACTGTTTTAGTAGCAATTGAGAGAGGTCTCAGCTGTTGTGCTAATAAAAATGAGATGCTGAGAAATACTGGTGACAAATGTCAATCGGATTTGGGAAAACAAAACCAAACCCAGGAGCTCTGACGAACCAAAGGTTAATCAGCAGTGCCATGCAAACGTGGAACTTGCAGTCAGAAGCTGCAGTGAAACCCGTTACTGTGTAGTGCACAACACTTCTCACACTGAGCTCCACAGGGTGCTGCTCTTAAGGAAGACACAAAACACTCACAGATCACTGTTCTGCCTCATTATTGAAAGACTATTAGAAAGTATTATTGAAAGACTGCATCTGTCAATTGGTTCGTATTTTCAAGCATGGTTTTTAAATATAGATATGTTTTAATAGCTGGAAGATAGCCCAAAAAGTGATCTAAGAAGTGTACATTGACTAACAGATTTTCTAAGCCATTTGCATCAACGCACACATGTTGCACTGACTTTCCAAATCAAAATAAGGTGCACTTTCTAAGGTGAGGAGAATCAAGTTGGTTTGGGCATTTATTTTTTAATTATACAGCAAAGCAAAGGAAGCACACACAGAGACCTGCTCAAACACACAGTGCCTAAAGCAAGCTGAACTCAGTTTTAATCGCTCTTTAAAAAGCAGACTACTTTCATGATGTGCTAGGATGGTTGCTATAGAAGAAACTGATCTATACATCCCACTTTTAAATGAATGAATGAATGAATGAACGTAGCTGTATTGTAAAGTGTCACTCTACCCCTCATCTACTCAACTAACTCTCACTGTTCCTTTGGAGGATGATACCATTCAGAGTAGGAAACCAAATGGAGCCACAACTGGTCCAACAGATTCTTTAAAAACCAAACCCTATGAAAGATGTGTGTTCCAAGAGCCACGTGACGAAAAGCTCACATGGCAGGAATCAAAGTGATGAAAACAAAAGCACCAATGATTTGTCCAATTGATATGCCACGAATGTGCCATTGTTGTATCTCATATATTTCAAACAACTATTCATGGTAGCATATTTAAATATTTTCGTATGTTTATCACAAGAGTACTTACACTGTTTTCCTACAGAGCATCAGAAAGGAGGCCAGCCTGCCAGCCTATGATCCAGCAACCCGCAGTGCAGGCATCACACCTGCAATGCCACCAATGGTCCTAATCACTCTGCTTCAGAAGTTCATTCTGGCTTAACTACTGGAAAAGCTGAGATGGGAGAAAACAGATAAGCAGCCTCAAAACATTTCTAACTATTCGTGAGAAAACCATTCCTATCTCTACAGCTCCCAGCAAAACTGAGACCTGCTGACCCTGGCATTACTTCTATTGAATGAGTTTAGCAACTCTGTACATTGCCAGGTGTCTTCTGAGGAGACGTTTAAATTCCACTTTTGTCACATCTCTAATACTTTCTCCTCTTCCTTTAGAAATGCTGCCTGCACTGCAGGAAAAGGTTAATTATACACCTGCAATTCTAACTACATTCTAATAGCATCTGATTGGAAATAAGGAAATGTCCTATCTCATCTGTGGAGCCAAAACACAGAAGCAGGAATTCCATTTCCTCCCTGTATGCCAGTCCTGCAATGAAGCTCAGTGCCTCAGTACCTTTTGAATTATTTCACTTTAATTGCCTTTCAAAAGCCAGATAGAAGCTGTTCTCTTACAGTTCTGTTATCAGCACCTCCAGATCCTGCTTTCAAATAGACTGGGAGTTCAACACCAATAACTCCCTAAGCATGGTAGTTACGCCACGGCAATTCAAGTTTTTACACTGAAAATGCTACTGAACAGCAAGAACTTCAAGGATCTCCCTGTTTTTTAAACACACCCAAAAATTAAAAGATGAGAGGTTTCCAAATTCTTGTTAGTTCACTAACAGCCAAGGAAAGCTTCCCATTTCTACATTTAAACCCGGTCAGCATCCCCAAGCCTGTGTCTTTGCTCATTTCTTATTTCAAATGCTTGAAGTGTCAAGCACAGGCGACAGGATAGCTCATTTCCAGGAGAAACTGAGGTAATCAACAACCCCTGTACCATCAAACAGCTTCTCTCCAACTTAGGTTTTCTCTGCCCATACAGCACACTAAGATGATGCTGTCATACCTCCTTATCCTGCCCTGTATTCATCAGTAAACAAAGGAAATGCAGAAACCACATTTCAACATACTTCTCCTTTCCATGGAAGGGAGATTTATAACTCACCCCTCCCTAATTCTTCTTGCCTATTTGTTTCTTATTTAAGACTCATCTCCTACCTGATTCCACTGCATCACTCCAGTAAAACCAATCTTCACCACCAACTGCTTTAGTTACACTCCTGGTAGAAGACGCACATGCTTTGAAGCTTAAGTCACCACTGAGATACTACAACACACAGTACCATGTGCACAATTGATTCCATCGCACTTCAGAAGGCAAAACCTGTTTTTTACATCATTCACATCAAACAGCAGAGAAATAAAGTTTGGAAGAGACCTCTGAAGGCCTCTGGTTCGATACCTTATTCACAGGAAAGCTAACTTCTAAGTGGCATCAGTTTTCTCTGGGTCTTGTTTCAAATTGTGAAGCCTGCCATGGCTCCAGTTGGGCAATTCACTCCAGAATGAGCCACAATAACAGGGAATGGTTTCATAGAATCACAGCACGGCCTGGGTTGGAAGAGACATCAAGGTTTACCAAGTTCCAACCCCCCTGCCACAGGCACGTGGGCTCCTCCAGCCTCTCACCCGCTTGTTCCCTGCGCACTTCAGCAGCCCTCCACTGCCCTCTTCAGTTGGTCTCTTCTGTTGGTGGTGGTTTTTGTACCGGAGGCCCAAATCTGGGTACAGTCACTGCCCAGTACAAGGCTGGCCTTCACCATGACGACAAGGGCGCAGCTTGGAAACGCACACAACATCCTCCCCACCAGGACCCTCCAGTCAGCCATTCCCAGGCTTCACACAGCCCAGATGCAGAATTTTACATTTATGTTTCCCGAACTTCCCAAGGTCCCCCATCAGCCTTCAGTCCATCCATGTCCCTGTGAGTGCCAGCTCTGCCCTCCAGCTATTAACCGCTCCCCACAGTCTGGTGTTATCCACAAACTGCTATGGGTGCTGCCCCATATCCCAGGCCAGTGATGAATGACAGCACTGACCCCAATTCTACCAGGTTGTAAAGCTACATCAGGGGACCACCAGCTCTGTGCAGTTCTAAGTTCCTTTTCTCCATTTGCCACTCCATTTATTACTGACATCACAACAGAGTAATAGGTAATTAATTATGAATTAAGCTAGAACTAACAATTATTTTTAACAGATTTTTAAATAAGCAAGGCTTAAAAGATGAGCCTTTACACATGCAGCTATAGACACCACGAGGAAAAATAACACAAAAAGGGCAATCACAAATACATTCAGCCTGTAAAGCCTGTGCGCTGTGGCTCTGTACCTTGGGAAAAGGTGCATCCCTCTGGAGGAGAGCTGAACTCTCTGATCAAACCAACACATACAAAAGAGCGCTGTAAGAAGAAACACAACTCCACCTCTTGGGGAAACCTGAAAGCAGCGACTTCTGCTAGCTTGGAAAGCAGCAATTTCATTACCAAGGAGAAAGTGGCTGTTTCACTTAGCCCATACTTTTCCAGAAGAAACGATTACTTTTTGCAGTTTTCCTGTCTTTCAAATATTATACCAAAATTCTAACTGCCCAACCTCATGCACACCAAATAAGCAGACATTCTGGAAGTGAATTAAGAGTCTGGTCTGTTAAACTAAACTGTAAACCATTACTGCAGTACTTCCAGAACTGAATTACCACCTATGCAAAATGTAAGTTATTATTACTAATATGTGCTATCAGAAACAGAGTTACACAACTTCTTGTAGTAAGGATTTCCTTGAGTACTGAAACACAAACAATGTGTTCGAGGTTTGTTTTACGAAGGATTTCCTCGAGTTCCTCAAAAAAGAGATTCCTGTCATTTTTCTTCCAAAATAAGAAAAGTGCTCAAAGTGCAGTTAATGGTGTAACAGGTACACTGAAAAGAGGTGATCCACTGTAATGCTCATCAGATTATAATTATTTTCATATTATCCTGAACAGAGGAAGCTATTCCACTGGCTCATTGTTTATATACAGAATCACTGAGGTTGGAAAGACCAACCAGATGGCCACGTCCTCCCACCACCCCACGCCTGGGACCACTCCAGCTGCTTTCCATCCACACGAGGTGCCTTTCTGCTCCCATCACAAATGCCACCTTTGCAACACTCTTCTAACCGGTCACAATAGAAAATAGCAGCGTCCTATTTTCCCCACTGACTTTCAGGGGAAAAGATCACTTCTCTAATGTGAAGCAGAGGAACATAAAGCACAAGTCCTCCACTGGCTTTTTAAAAGGGAAGTTTTTAAGGTGTTTCTGTGTGCAGCTGACCACACCCTGCACAGCAACGAGAAAAACTACTGCAGCAAGAACCCAGCATCACTTCCTAGAGCACACGTGCACGCTGTCTCAGTAGAGCTGCCTCCTCCTACAAACCTCCATGATTTAAACTAAGCCCTGATTGGGTTCATTTACCATAAATGTACCTGCAATTATGTGTGGTCATTACTAGACAGGACACTTCTAGAGGTTACCCAAAAAAGCAACTTGTTTAAAAAGTGGCAACTCTCTCCTCTGGGGAATGAATCACAGCCTCACACGTGCTTCCCTTCATTCTC